TTATTTTCAAGGGAATATGCTATCTTTCATTTTTGTACTTTTATCGGCCACACAGTAGTTAAGAATGTAGAAAGAAAAAAAATGAAAACATTAATTTCCTATGTAACTTCCGCCTTACAATTTTGAACCAGTAACACAAACGGTGTGTCTCTCCTGAAATAGAGACGTGGAAAGATTTATAGCATGTTTAACCAAAAAACGGACAAAATCATAATTCCATATCCTACCACATACCCATTATGAAAATAGTTGAGGGTCATTCTAAAGATAATTTTGAAAATGATTTATCATTATATACTATCAAAATGGTAAGCAGAGCTCTCTGCAAAATGAAAATGTGACATACTTTGTTCAAAAATTGGGGTGGAAAAGCTTTTTCTTTCTTGTGCTGTCCCTCTTTTAACCTGTAATACTGGTCTTTATCTGCTATTTAATGTTGTCATCCCTTGGGCACAGGGATATTTCCAGATGAGTGCAGATCCCCACAGACATTGGCCAGCCCTGCAAGTCCACACTTGGGGCAAGGACATCCTGACCCCAATGTCCCCATGCCTGTGCCTAAGCCCCCACCTGGCATGGGCTGCAGTGGTCACTGGGTATGAGTCTGGGAAGGGCAGCTGAGAAATGGCCCTGTTGGGCAAACAGGTGGCGAGAGGCAGAATCTTAACAGGAGCGGAAGCTCCCGGGCCCCAGCACAGGCTCCCTTACCCCACCCTCACCCCTTACTGGACTTCACTTACCGAACACAAATTCTAAGATGAAATTATGAAGAACTTCAAGATGGCCACTGCAGGATATTAAACCTCAAGCATGGACATCCTCTCCACTGGTCACCCACCCATGAAACCAACCCTGATGGTAAGTTTTGGATTATAGCTTCAAGGAACAAGTCATGCTACATAAGAACTAGTATTGCCTGAGATTATAAATGTAAGCAGACCCCTAACTACCTAAATCTGGATTTAAACAGATTCCCATTTGTATATTTGACACAACGTGACTAATTTTTTCAATAAATGGAGTCTGTTGCTTTGGTTTGCTTGTAATGTTGGGCTTTGATTGCCTATGATATGATCATTTCCAGCGGTATTTCAGTAACTTTGCCTCCAGAGCACCAAGCTAATTAGTACAATAAATTGGGAAATATACTCCTCCTCACCAGGCACTTCCCAACACCTGTATGATCCCCTGGTGTGACAAAGCCTCCTCTAGTAGAAAGTTATTCATTTCTTACCTCCATGATTATCACGTTCCCAAACTGTTCCTTTCTCCTTTACACACGACCATTAAAAAAAAAAAAAAAAAAAAAAAAAAAACTCCGCTTTGGGTCCTACTTCCCCGTCAGCAACCTCATTAAATACAATTTACATCACATTGTATTTTAATCATTCATTTGTGAGGACACAAAAAGAAGCTCAGAATCTTAAGAGTTTACCAGCAGTGACTCCAAGATTCCTGCAATGTAGATGATGCCTCTGACAGATGAACACAGCTAGTAATGTTCTACAAACAATGTCAGGGAGTGTCAGGGAAAGGAGAACCTATGTTCCCAGGGGCAAAAAACTGCATAACAGAGAGGTAATGGCATTCAGTAGTTAGCTTTATGGTCTAAATGTGCTCTTCCACTAAATAGGCATGTATGTGACTTTTTATGCCTGAGTTTCCTCTTTTATAAAATGTGATGCTTGCTTAGGATTTTTTTTTTTTTCAAAATTATCTTTGGTGGGAAAATGATATTTCTTCTATGTCTCTGGGGAGGCAGAAAGTATTTAGATTTAGAGACTCACATGGTGGGTGAAGGGAAAAGCAACACTCTACTCTCACTGAATACTTCTGTAGTCCAAATCTGTGGTGGAGGGGGAGGCGGGGCAGGGATTCCCACACCAACCCATTCTCTGACACCAGCTGTAAGTCCTACAATTTAACTCAATTCTAACACTAACCGCCTGGAGTTAAAGCAAGACGCATAGGTTAAAAGCTCAGTCTCACAAGAGTGCCCTGACTTCGGATACCAATTGCAAGCAGTGAGCCCCCAGGTTACCTGCAACTTCTGAGTGACTTGGCTATAAATCATGGGTATCCACAAGCCCTCAATTTTGATCATGCACTAGAATGGCTCGCAGAACTCAGAAAAAGTTTATTTACCAGATTACCAGTTTATTACAAAAGGATATACCTCAGGAGCAACCAGGTAGAAGAGATGCCCAGGGCAAGGTATGGGGAAAGGGGCGTAGGAGTTTGCTAGCTCTCTCCACCCTCCCAGCACCTCCATGTGTTCATCGATGGGAAAGCTCTCCCAGCTCCACAGATTAGGGATTCTTTATGCAGGCTTCATTACATAGGTATAATAGATTGGATAACTGGCCATTGGTAATTGACTCAACCTCCAGCCCCTCTCCCTTCCCTGGAGGTCAGGGGGTTGGGGCTAAAAGTTCCAACGCTCTAATCACCTGGTTGGTTCCCCTGGCAACCAGCTTCCATGCTGAGGCTACCCGGGAGCCCTCCACTACCAGTCATTTCTCCTAGCACAGAAAGACACATCCCTTCTGTAGAGTCCAAGGTTGTTTTGTTTGTTTGTTTGTTTGTTTTGCCAGACACAGGTGTGTGCAGGGATTGGGGGTGATGGTGCTGGTAGGGGAACAAAAATTACGTGTTTCTTATTGTCGGGGGGGTGGATACCCCAATGCCTTAGTACCAAGATCACAGGTAGTGGCTGTGTATGAAGGACAGACATGAATGAGGAGCATTTTCCCCCCTGGGGACATGACACTTGGTGTAAGATTATAGCAGAGAATCTTAGCCTGTAGTTCATGGTTAGACTTAAAATGTGCTCTGATTTCTACACATAATACTGTGTGTGCCCAATTTTACATGACTCCATCAGATTAGCAGGAAAATCTGTAAGCAAAATATGATTACATATGCTAAGGCCTTCCATGCTACCTCAGAAAATAGAAAGGACTTCAGTGTCACCTGAGACAATACATGTGTTATTTGGTGCTTAAGAGCAGGAAGTAGCCTGAAGCACGGGAATGAATAATTTAGGGCAAGAGGCGCAAAAGTTGATAGGTTTACATTTTCATGGAAACAAATCTAATTTTAAATAGGTACTTTTTGAAATAAATTAACATGCCATTGGTAGATTATGTAGTTAAAGTAGGAGTACTTAATCCCCAAATCCCCCTGCAGTGGAGCTGAGGAGTTTGTGAAATCATAAACCCTTTTTGATCCCATTTCATAAAGCTTCTCTGATTTCTGGAAGATGGGTATTAAGATGTTCCCATTTGGTAAAACTGCCAAACAGACAAACCTTACCTTGAAGATTTTTCCAGTTCCCCTCTATTTATTTTTTTTTCCCAACACGTTGGAAAAAAACTCATCTTCTGATATTCTCTTAATTTGGGAGTAAAAAAGACATATAATTCTGATACACCAATTTTACTAGTTAAATATGTTTTCATATCTTAGAGTGAATGAATGATTAGCACGTTCCGGAAGTATTACGTTGCTTTCCGGAAATATTTTATTAGTGTAGAAGTCCTATACAGCATTATTATTGTATACCAACTCCAACAGATGTGAAAATGTCTTTAAATTTGCCATGTGATCATATTCTATGCACCCTGTGTAGGATTCAGTTTAGTAAAGACAAAAAGTAGAGTTTTGATAGTATGTGCAGGGCACATGTTTTTAGAACATCTAATGATGTTCTCACTCTGAGCATTGTTATAGCCACTCTTCAGAAGATAAGTTGATTTCCTAAATTTTCTAGCATAATAAACTGTTAACTTATTAATCAGCCCTATTTTAAAAAATCAAAATAGAAAATCTTCATAGAAATAACCATTGAAGTTGAGACTATGAACAATGGTTGAAAGATAGGCTATTTGTTTTTCTGTTTGTTTAAGCATGAGACTTTTTTCATAATTATACTTTAAAAAAAATAGAATTTTCCACTTCTTTCTCCAACACAGTAATGCCAAAAATACACAAAATGGTCAGTACTTGGAAGGATAATTTAATAATCAAGAGGTTTTTGAAGAGCTAGGCATAAGATGCTATATTCAGGTTCTTGGGGGAATTCATGAGGTAAGGGATTTAATATATAGTAAGTATTCACTAGTTCTGTTTTGATTAAATCACATGCAATGTAGAGTAGCACTAAGTGGCATTTAAAATGCAACCGGGAAATTGCTTCTTCCCCCTTTAATTTTATTTCTATATATTTTTTTAATATGCCAGGTTTCAAAACATTAGGAAAAAATTATCTTTAAATTTCCCAAACTAAAGTATGGTTTGAAAACCATTTAAGACTATTTCCTGAAACTTCTTGTTTTAAAGGAGTGTACAATTATTTTTAGCATTATCCCAGGATTGTCACATAGTGAAAATCCTTCTCATAGACTAAAACTTCTCTGCAAATTTTTAAAATTTATTTATTTATTATTTTATTTTTGGGGGGAGGTCATCAGGTCTATTTATTTACTTATTATTAGTTGTTTTTTTTTTTTAATGGAGATACTGGGGACTGAACCCAAGACCTTGTGTATGCTAATCATGCACTCTTGCCACTTGAGCTATATCCTCCCCTCCTCCTATGCAATTATTAAAAACACTTAGATTTTATATTTTAGTGGATTCTATTAAGTAGCATTTTCAGTATGCTTCCTTGATTTTAAAAGAATGCCAAATAATGCTTTGACAGAAATAACAATTGCCATTATGAAAAGATGGAACTGATTTATCTAGGTAACAAGGGTCTCATGTACGTATCTGATGGAAGAGCTCGAATACGAGTGGGCACTTTGGGTAACTGTAAAAGAAATAAAGAATCGTGTCTATGAATGTATTACTTCAAATGTCTTTCAGTGTTGAATTGGATCTTCCACATAGGATCAAATTTGCTAACTTGTATCACAGGGCTTCTTTTGCTAGGAAAAAAATGAATGAAAGTAAACAAAACATTATTTCATAAAATAAACCAGATACAAAATCTTGCCTTGTATTTACAGATAAATTTTAATGGAATATTTCATGGTCTAACACAAATATCAGACCCAATGACACTAATTCTTGTACAGCCTTTGGCTTACCCTGTATAACAAAATCTGTTATTTAAAGTAGACTATAAAATACCTTATGGTAAGTGAACTTCCAAAGACACAAAGAAAATCCTCCATAAATTTAAAAGCTTATCTCAAATTCTTATTGGCATAAGCTTAGAATGGATATATTATTAATTGCATTATCTTAGGTAGTTGAGATATATAATACTGGTTAGAGTGTGAAAATTAAAAAAAAAGTTTTAGGTATTTTTGCTTCTGTTCCTAGTCAGTATTAGTAAGCACACATAAGTGATTGTAAAATTACCTTTACAGAGATTTGAAATTTTGGCAATTTCAAGCAAATTTCCTTAAGTCAGCAACATTTTTTTTAACCCTTAGCATATTACAAGGTTCGTATATTCCAAGGAGTAACGATTAAATGTTGTACAAATAAAATAACATTTATTTTACTACTGCTTAGTTTTTAAAACTTCCATTAAGAAATTTACAAAGAAAATGGGCATCACTGAGAGTATCTAAAGTGAATGGATAATGTATGAAATTGAAAAAGATATGCAAAATGATGTGTTTGGCATAAAATAGTATGTTTTGTAACATCTTTCATAATCTGTCAATGGAAAAAAAATTTTCCACCTTTCAATGTCTGTTTTCAAGCCTAAACAAAGGAACTAAATGAATAAACAATTCAATAATGTCCAACATAACTAAAACTCAAATTTTATTTTTTTCCATATGTATCAGACAGTTTTTTTCTGACAAGACTTCACTGAAAGATGAAGTGCAAATGGGAACCCTGTAAGAATGTTTATAAGAGTTGTACATGACATATTTTAAGCGCCACTAAGTACACATTGAATACTTTGTAAGTATATAGGCATATCAACATGCAAGTGTCATGTACCTAATATTACAATATGCATTTTGGTTTTTGAAAATGTTAATGGTAACAGTAGATTCAGTAATTGTGTTTCCTTATCTTCTGTGCAATATGCTTGATTTCGGTGCATCTTCTTTACAGCACAGAGTTATTTTTATGCTGTCATAAATATACCCTTCCAAAAGTTATGAATTTCATGTCATATAAATAGGACATTTCCTTTTTGAAGCTACATTACTGGGAACACCTGCATTTCTGGGTACCATTTTCTGAGATAAGTCTTTAAATTCTTTTTAACATGGCAGACTTGTTCCGATGTTGGTTATGTTGAAATATTTATGATAAAAATGGAGCTTTCTTGAGGGAATATTTTTTGGTTGAATGAAAAGCTAAACAACCAATTTGCAAATATTGATGTGAACTGAATATGAAGAAAATAGGCCAGTAATCCCAAACTCATAAATCCTTGGGTTACTACTTAACTGCGTCATTGAATCTACAATAAGTACAGCAGGTACAGTTAAATCAATTTGTAAAGAGATGAATTTTATACATTTAGAAGGAGAAAGAGTACTAGTTTTGAAAATTTTCTAAATTACTTTTCTTTCTATTTATGAGACTCATTCAATACATTAGAAACACAGAGAAAAAGCAAAAAGGATAGAGATAACAATTCAGTATACATTTCAATTTTTTTAACCAACGGGTGACCACTGCTTTCAACCATCAAATATTTTATTGCATATAACTTTCACTATCAGCAAATATAAAGAGAAAAGTATCTACTAGTATCATGTACAAGGAAAAGCATCTGAAGAAAGAAAACACTTGAGGTTTGACAGTACGGTGTCTAAGTGAAATGTGGCGTTTCATTCCGCACTTACAAGTCCGTGTAGGAATCACTGCTGTTCTGACCCTGGATGTGGGAAAAGTGCTTAAGTGCTGAGCCCTGGTAGGTTTTTCTTTTGCCCCTGCAATCTTCAGATATCTTTTAAGTTTCTTCTTTTGAAATATACAGTATATTTCATAGGGGAAAATAGTTTTTTTTTCTTTACATCTTTTTTCACATTTGGGCCCACTCTCTCCAAAATAACTATACATTTATTGTAATATATATATATATATATATATGTATGTGCACATACATATATATATAGAAAAGATGTTAAAGATTACACCAAATATCATTTGTAACATAACCACATAACAGAAATATCTTACTTTAAGCATATTTTATAGATTCAGCATAATTTGAGATAATTTTTATGTCCTTTCTCTCTAAAGGAAAAAATCTCTTTTCAAAGTGTCATTTCCTTTCAGAAGAATTAAATTACAGCCTTTGAAGAATTCATATGTCTATGCAGACAAAATAAAGTGGGCATTTGTGGCAATACTTTGCAGTCACTATTCAGGGATTATTTGTTAAGGAGGCAATTTTAAATACTTAAATATTGGTCTTACATAGATAACACTTCTTGGGAAAATAAATCACATATATGATTTTTACTTAAAAGCACAGTATTAATTTATAAGAAATTATTTCATTTCAAGTAGTAAATGAAATGTCAGCTTGGATTGCAAAGTGTTGCCATTTAAAGTACTGTTTTAAAATCAACACAATTATATCACATTGAAATAGTAAATAGGCATGAGAAGAACTATCCTTAGAAAGTTATTGTATTTTTGCTTATAGGAAAAGTTACTGATAGAAAAGGAAAAACAAATGTAGATCCATACACCGTCGAATACACTAAAAGTAAAGTTGGCTTTTGAGATCTCCCAGGGGGTGGGGAGCGGACCGTTATGATAGTCCCAAAAGAGTGCTTCCTGGGATATCTTGTAAATAGTTATTTCTTCTATTTATATTGAAGTATCATAGCCCATGTTAAAAGTGAGAGGTAGAAGAATTATTGTAAGTATGCATGGCAGAGAACTTACCAGCTATATCCAATAACTATTGCATTCAATATTAATAATCTTAATACATAAAAATGCTGATGAGTTTAGAACCCATTTTTACATGTTGTCCCCTTTAGCTCTCTTTTCAAATCTTGCTACTTTCAATCCATTGCCTTTGGAAGGGTATAGGTGCAAAGGGCATGCTTGGGATGAAACAGAGAGAGAAAGGGAAGAAAGAATAGAAAAAGAAAATATATTAAAAGGTCCCATTAAGATATAGTGGCTCTAACTATTAAAGGTAACCTATGTTCTTTGAATAAATTTGTACTTGTAATAAAAGTACCACTATCCATTAAAACATACCATATTCAACATAACATATCCAAATTCAACTAGGTTGAATCAAAGTTTAAAACTCAGGTTATTTCTTTCTCTCCAGCTAAAAACTAGGTGTACTAATTTTATTGTGTCATGTTAATGATTAAGTAAGAAAAACTTAATGTGTTGTTATGTCAGCTGTATTTTTAATTAATGCTTTCATATGAGGGAGGCGAAGATTAGCAACCTCTTAGATCTTGAAGAATTCTTTAAAATCCCTTTGCATTAAGTATCCAGCAATAGAATTGCAGATATTGCACTGAGTGTATTTCCGTATTGCCAGTGTATATTTCAAAACAAATTCTATTATCTACACTAAGATTTCCTCTTTCCCAATATTCAAAATGCATATTATAATTACATGGGTTTCCAACATCCATACACAGCAAGTACAAGATACTTACATGTACGTACACTGTAGTTACCTATATTTTGCATAGTTTTTAGTGTGTACTTTGTGCCACTTAATTAAAAGCATTACTTGGTAATTCTTCTTAGGTGTTTCATTTCTTTCAGCTGTGGTTGCCAGCTGTTTTTTGTTTTTTTGTTTTGTATGGTATATTCATCACAGATTACATTTGCAAAGGGGGATTCTGGTGGGCAGTTTTAGAGGGCTGTAAGTAGTTAGCAATAGGACGGGGAAGTTGCAGTAAGATACGAGGTTTTGCACTTTCTCTACGATTAAAAAATGGAACATGAAATTTCATATTTATCATTCATTGAATTATCCTTATGGCCAAAGAAAAAGAAAAGGTATTTCAGATGTTCCCCTTGGTAACACTTTGCAATAAGTGGCACTAAATTACACGATAACTGCTATGTTACATGGAAGAACCATCACCGTCAAACAGCTGCTGTACACGTGCCTATGTGGAATCTCAATGCTGTTACAATCATGAGTACGTAATTACAAGTGAGCCTGTCCTTCTAATTGAGATATTTATATTTTTACAAAGAAATAAAAATAAATGAGGTGTTAGCTTCTTTGCCATATTTAGGAAAGTTAGTTTTCTTTCTCTATCTGTTATTTTAATTGTGGGGTTTCAATGCAAGATTAAGCATCTTGAATCAATATGAGATCATCCAGTTTCTAGATTAAATTCCAATGTCAGGTTCCTTAAACTGCTGCTTGGATTCTCTGGTAAAAGAAAGCAAGATGAACTCTCTCACTTTCCCTCTCTCTCACACACACATGCGTGCACGCAGGCACACGGACACACACACACACACACACACATTGATACTTTGCTCATGCTATCTTTGCTCTTGCACTCACAAACTTTCCTTTTTTCTTCTCAATTTTGATAATTGTTCTATCTAGGACACTCAAAAATGGAAATAAGAAAAAAAAGAATGCTGTTTACACGTTTTTGGATGGAGGACAATCACTTTACACTGTAAACATTACATGGGCAGAGAATAGCTACTTTGGGGAAAGAATAATGTTCCATGTTCTACCAGGGGTGTGTATGTGTGTACACACTCCTTCCATTGAATTTTGTGGCTATGGTGGTCACTAAACAAAGACAGAGTTGGGCTCTCTGGGCATACAAGTATGTACGTTTCAGGTATTGCAATTGACACAGTCCATTTAGAAATGTTATTTCCTATTTTTTTCTATTTTTTTTAGAAATGAACAGAGTTTCTACAATTTATCTCCTTGTTTGGTGGAAATCAAGTTATTTTTAAAGATAGGAAAATATAATTCCATTGCTATTTTCTTTCAGTAATTGAAAATGATACCTAATTCAAAATCTGTTTTAACTGGCAGAATATTTGATTAGCACTCACAAATCACAATATACCAGTTAGTTTCTTTTACAGAGTTCTAATGAGTTTTTAGATTACTGTAAAGGGTTAAAAGAATCAAAAGTCTTGAAATGCAACCAATTTGGGGTTTCTAATTTTACAGTGCTATAAATAATGATTGAGTTATTTAGGCAACAATTTAGCAGTTGGAGCCGAGCAGAATACAGATGAAATGAAGAGGGATGTAAATACGGCATCAATGAAGAGTAGCAATTTTGTAAGTGCATCCTGAAATTAGGCTTTAAATAGTAACTGATGATGCAGTTTATACAACTTACTTCTCTAATAAGAACCCTTCCATTTTGTACTAACAGGATGAATTTTGCTTTGTGGAGTCTTTCTAAAGATTATGCATTGAAAGTTATGAACAGTTTATAAACCTATTCTAGTTTCAATGTGTCTAGTAGCACCTACCTGATTCTCTCAAACTACCATACTATATTAACATATTATTGCATTTTTCCACAGATGGTATGGAGTGAACTGTAAAAACAAGCATGCAATCACATCAATGCAGACTTATTTCCTTAAAATGTCATACTGTATATGATTTATTATGTTAACACTCAACCACATCATATTATTTATGTTCTGTATATTCTGAAAAAGTGCTGCTTGACTGACATCGTCCTTTTTCTTTTGTGAGAAATCAACAAGATAAATGCTTCAACAGTCAAAAAAAATTTAAAAATTCTAACGTCCTTAAAAGACTTATACTTTTCTGATAAATAATCTAAGATACAGCACCCTTGTCTTTCATTTGATAGTAATACATGATGTCATACTCAACCATTCTCATTTCCCAAAAATAAATTCCAAGATACTATTTTTAAAACCATAGGCCATCATGCTTTCAGACATCACAAGAATAGCTACCACATTGTCACATTTGTTTTCTTCATAAAGGTGCAATGCTTTTGAATGGGAAAATAATTTTTACCTTACTGGATTTTTTAATCTTCAGCATATAGTAAGTCTAATGAGAACTAATCTAGTAATACTGTATTTTTCTTAGGAGAAATAATATGACTTTAGATTGACTCTGTGTCATATTTAAGAATACAGCATTTCTTAATGGTTAAATACATCAAAATTTCAGAAATAATCCAGAGAAAGAGACTTTCACCTTGGAGTTAAAAGCATGGCAGAAATTCTCTATCACTCACTGTTTCATAAGTTTGTACCTCACAAAATGCATAGACAGGAATTTAATATAAAGAATTAGTTCATTTATACAGAAAACATATCTTAAACACTTCTTTTTGGCAAACCAACATAGGTAAGCAGCTCTGGAACTGCCAAATTAAAATTTGTAAATTTTTAGCAAACTAAGAGTTTATTTTTAGGTTATTATTCAACTGTAGTTGTCATTTAAAACCTGAGGCTGTGCACTGGTTGTTAGCTTAAAATTACCTTTCCTTATAACATTGTGCTTCCATTGTATAACAAATACAAATTAACAAGAACTAGAAAAATTTGTTGTTGAACAGTGCTAGGACATACAGACAAAAATACTAATACATGTTATCTACTTATAATATTGGTTTAAGTAATATCTAAAGGGATATAATGGACATTAGAAAATGCTTACTCATGACTGAATTACCTACAGCCAAAAAAGTTAAATATGTATCAAATAATGTTTAATTGGATTTATTATATGCACTATATACAGATACTAAAATGTCTCAAAATTGTGCCCTATGGATATTTCAATTCTGTTTAGGCAGGTGAGTCTTTGTGGAGCAAATAAATTACAGAATCAAATTAGAGAAATGAATGAAATCTTGGTGACTGTCAAAGCCATAAAATGCTTGTTACAATTTATTGGTATATGAAGCTAAAATAACTTGATAGTAGGACCTATATCATTATATATGATACCATGTCATGACTGCACTCCAGACACATGGCTTCTGTATCAAATACTATATTTTTAAATAGCAAATTGATACAGCTTTACCAGTATAATCGCAAACATTCCAGAATCTACACTACAGTGGGATTTTTTTTCAGTTTGTGTTTTCTAGGGCATATGCTTCCAAAACATGTCTTTGAAGAAAGACATGTAAAAAGCATTGTAAACCTCTAATATCTGATTAAACATATGCATATTAGGTCTTTACCTAATCCTGTTCCTTGTGAAAGCTGTCCAATGGCAAACTGACAAGATCTATGATTCGAAGAGAATAAAAAATGAGGGGGGAGGGGGGGCTCTGCATACATTTTTTTCAATGTATAAAAACAATTCAATATCATGATCCAAGGAGATGATTAACATTGTTAAGGCTGTATATTCAAGCACTGTATGTTAAAAGAGCGATGGTGTGGAATTTAGGCAGTAAGAAATGTCCTGCATTATGGATGGTACAATAATTAAAGAATGATGCTTTTGACAGCTGATTGTTGGTATATACTGGCTACTGATAGCAGTACAGGATGGAAGTTAATAAAGGTAGCAGAAGATGGTAGAAATGAATTCTGAAAGATGATAGCCAGTTTTCTCCAGCAGCCAGCCTGGGAAGGAAAATTCAGAATCTTGGCCTGCATTTTAAATGAAATATTCTTTTTTCTCTTCAGCATTGACTTGGCTGCCCTCAGCATTGATAATGGCTGTGTCAGCATCTGGTGCATCTTCAGCTCCTTTTGCTTCGTTTGTTAAGTATGTTCCTGTGGGCATTGGAAGAAAAGTACGTTAGTTCTGTCAGACCGGTCAAGCAGCCAGTATTCAAGCAACATTCATTTAGGAAGAAACTTATGCCAGATTTCTTATATGTTGGAACATAGTCTGAGACATAAGAAACCACATAGTTCACCCTGCTAAAGCTGTATGCTTTCTTTCAAGTTTCAGGTCTATGTTGTTGATAAAGCTGTGGCCAAGTTGACTAGAGGCAACAGCCAAACAGGAATGAGGAATGAGTACTTTAATTTCCTTAGTGATGGCTACAGACCATGTGATCTGTGCAGCTGTAGCAATAGGGGTCCTTTGTTAAGATGCTGACAGCGATCACATCAAAGATGTCACCATTCAGTTTGGTAATTCCATTTTAAAGTAGATTATATCAGTAGTTTGCTACCTAGTCCATTGCAAAATACCACATATTCTCCTCACTAATATGGCCACATATGTGTCCAGAAGCCTACAAACAACAACACTGACCAAATGTTTAATGTTAAATAGTTAAATTTCAGTCCTAGAGATGAAGTACAAACTTGCTTGTATTATCATTATTTTTTTTTAATGAGCCTCTGACTCTTGGCCACTGGCTCAACATTATTTTGCTAAGCCAATCCAACTTTAACATGGAGTAAAATAATCAAGAATTCTCTGAAGTAATTTAGTGTTTAGATCTCTCTCTCTCCCCTCACCCTGTCTCATACACACACTCGTACAATATTTCATGATAAGGCTAATCTTTAGAATTTTTGGCCAAACTTAAGAATACTTTATTAAATATTACCTACCTTTATGTCTTGCCAGATATCGACCAAGCAAAAATATAGAACACAGCGTGACAAATACAACTACAGCCACAATTCCTCCTATAAGAGCATGATCAGGGCCAGTCTGGCCGGCCAGAGCATTGGGATCTAGAAAAGAGAGGAACACTACTGTTCTAGTCAGTGTGTTATTTAGACATAGAGTACATATATGTCTTCAAATGAGTTCATTTGAAAATCAGCACATGAAAATAAAATTTTATTAATGAGTATTACACCAATCATCTAGTCAACAGATATTTATTGTGTGCCTATAATGTACAAGATACTTAGGGAGTATAACATTTGACACATTAATCACTGTTGGCATTGCTTTTGTATCTAAAGAGAGAACCTGGATAAACAAATACACATAAACGATTTTGTGTAGTTATATGCTTTTTCTTCCTCCTTTTCTCCATCTGAAAATATGGGGGTGTGTGCATTTTTTAATGTGACAAACACAATTATCCCATGTTAAAAATACAATTATGTCCTAGGAAAGAATGGGGTCAGAGATTATAACAAGATTTATCATTATATAAATATTATTTAAAGCTAAAATTGATGAACTCCTCAAGGGAGTGAGTCTTGATAGACAGAGAAAAAGGTCTGAAAATTGAGTCCTGAAAACCCCCATATTTCAAAGCCTGAAGAAGTCAGTGGACTGAGAGAGAACAGTGGGGTAGGAAGAGATTCTGCAGAGTACACTGCAGTTGACAAAGGGAAGGATATACTTCAAGGAGACGGGGATGTTGCAAATGGTGTTGTGTTATTGATAGAAGGAGGAAGATGACTACCCAACATTGAAGACTAAGTGCCTGTTGCACTTTTAATTTTAAAGGAAGTGATTGGAAAGATTAGATTAATCGTATACTTTTACATTCTGCCTTTAGTAAGGTATTACAGGAAAGAGCTGAGCTCAGTAAAGGATGGCCAGTTTTCAAACAGAAATGAAAAAATCAAAGAAAGACCCACATTTGGGTACTCAAAAGTTTAGAAAAGCAACTATTGATAAAAGCTGCACAAGTACACCAGAAATGGACACATTGTAAACTGACTATACTTCAATAAAAACAAACAAACAAACAAAACCTAAGTGAAGTTTTGAGCAACAAAATTCACTAGGACTCAGCCCTGTGGCAAAGGTGGATTGAGTGTACTGCCTACCCTCCCAAGCCCATTGCAAATTTAGCTTCACAGGAGCTGATTTTGGCCTATAAGAGGGATTTAAAGGAGGGATAAAGTAAAGAAAGAAATTACACCTGGCAATTATGCTTTCAAAAATCTTGAACTCTGGTTATAGGCACGTAAATCTGACAAATAGATTAGAAGTCTACTTTGTTTTTAATGGACCCACTGTGTCAAAAAACATATGTCTAGCTATGGAAAAAAGAAAAAAAAATGTCTGACTATTTAAAACTTCAAACAACTTTTGGACTCCCAAACTTGGTGAAAGTAAGAGGCTGTGTAGTCCCCACGGAAGGCATATTCCCAAACGCCCATTTCTGATTTGGCCACGGAGCATCACTGACAAGGCTGAATTTCCCACAAGGCAGGATTTCCCATAAGGGAGAAGCAACAAAGAATGAACAGAAAAGAATCCATTTTCTTCAGGGAACTACAACTATTGCCAAGGCAGAGGGAACTTTTCATGCCAATCTGGCATATTTTCATAATTATTATGGATCAGTGACTACTCAGTGTTTCCCAACTTCCTCTATTTCCAAAAGAGAGCATTTATATTAAGGAGTGCTTTTCCTGGCTGCCTTCTTGTGTTTTATGTATGGGATGGATAGAAGCATTAAAATGTGTCTTCTGGTTCATTTGTTCCTGGACTAATGCATTTGGATATGATGAAGAGGACTGGGCATATTTGAGGACCTTGGTCTTTAAGTTGGATATATTGACTTCATGGGATGTCAAGTTGTCTCTTTGGATAGGGTCTGGCAGTGGTTTGAGTGAGAAAAAAACAGGTGAAAAAATATTTGGTGATCCAAATGGTATATCGGGGCAGAGATTTCTAGCTGATAATTAACTTGTTTGCTTTTCTTTCAGTGTGCAGAGCTAAACATTTACCAGTTTCACTTGCAGTTGAATGTAACCATGGGATTTGTGTTCTAGACAACTGAAAGAAGACCCAGCCAATAAAAAGCTCCCATATGTAACCTTCCAGGGTGATCTCAGGTTTACAAGTTGAAAATAAGAGAGTAACAAGAATAAGTCAGGCCATGAGTAACTGAATATCCACTTGGAAAAAAAAATTGCCCAACTAAGAATATATGTATCGTCAAACAGCTTAAAGAAAATAAAAAGCTTTATTTTCAAAACATTGGGCATTAGAAAGTTACTCTGTTACAGAAACTATTGTTAATTTATGTTTTTATTATATATTTCTTATATTTCCCTTAATTCCTGGCATTGGCTATAAATCTCCAAAAGAAAAAAAAAAAGGAAAATATAAATCCACCATTTTCTGAATTCCCTATTTGTATTCCTAGCTAGGATACTTTAGAATCAGTTTCAAATTCCCCCTCTTATTCAAGCTCCGACTCAAAACCATATAGTCATAAATTGTATTCATTTTATTTGCTGAATATCTCTCAGGACTGAGTATGCTTTTGGGGAACTGAGAAATCACCCTTGTTCAGACATCTGTACCTGTCTTATTTCCTGAAGGTAAAATGTGAGAAGTGGTATTGCTGGATCAGAGGATGTAAACCTTTTTAAAAGACCTTTGATAAATACTGCCAAATTATATTGCAGAATGATTACCAATTCATCCTCCACCAACTGCACTGGAGAGATTCTTTTTCTCCATATAGTACTAATATCAGGTATTACAATTAAAAGAAAAATTGCCAATCTAATATTGAAAGTGTTAAATATTTTGTATTTATTAAATTATATGTTAACATAGATATGTCTAAATACTTTTGCCCATATTAATTAATTAATTTTGAAATGCCTCTTTATTCAGCTTAACTTTTTTTCTATTCAATTTTTCTGTTTTAAGAGCTCTCTCCATAAAAGGATGAACGTTTTCAGTAATTTCTTTATATTTATTTTTCATTTCTAATTCCTTCAGCCATCTATAAGTCTTACAATTTTATGTAATTAAATCTATCAAAGTATTTAGTTATGATATCTGACTTGTGGGTCATGACTTGAAATGCTTCTGCTGTAAGATTATACACAGAGATTTTTGTTGTTATTTATCATTTTTACTATATTTTAATCCACCTAAAATATATTTTGGTCTATGATTTGAGACTAAGGTATAAAATATGAGTTTAATTCTTCTGTGACAGCCAGTTGTCCTCCATATTATTTCTTTCATCAATATTTTTGTCACTTACCATATACTAAATGTCTACCTATTTTATGTGTTTCTGTATATTCCAGTCTATTCTCCATGAGGAGAAACTAGTATTGTAGTTTTAAAAATCATTTTCATGTCTTGGAGGAGAAAGCTTAGATCAAGTTTAGAATATTTCTACAAGAAACAAAAATAAAATAAATTATTTATTAGGATTGTATTAATCTATAGATTTTTCTTTTATATAGTGCACATCCAGGAGCATGGTATGATTCTTCAATTATTTAAATATTTAGTGCATTTTAATAAGTTGTGTAGTTTTCTGATACAGGACCTGCATATTTTCTTAAATGTTCTTCCCCATTTTTAAACAATATTTTTAATATTTAATATTTAGAAAAAATTAATATTGGTTTTGCAGTATTTTTAAATGTTACTAATTTTTCATTAACTTTATGCCTTTTTTTATTCCCATTTTTTGTACTCTATTTTCTAAAGCATTATGTCTAGAATTTGTCAAGATTATATTTTTCATTTTTGTTTCCTGACCATCAAATTCCATTAATTTTCCTACTATTTTAAATAGTATTTGAGTTGTTCCCTTGAGGTTTTTCTTTTCAATATTATATTTTCTTTTTTCTACTGCACTAGTGCTTTGTAAACAATAATGAGAATTCATCCTGATTCTGATGATCTCAGAAATGCATCAGAAATTTAAATGGACTTGCCACAATTCTCCTTTTGACACTAGTTGGTCTCTTTACTTATTTTAATATCTAGAGTTACTTTTATAGTTTTTATTTATTGGAAAGTTGACAGTAAAGGTATTTATCCTTTGATGATATAAAGCACACATCTTGTCAAAAGAAAATTTCATGATAGCAACATTCTTGAACCATGAATATCTAAGTAAGTATTATTTTGTTGTGAATAAACATTCAACTGGCTAAAGAAATCCCTGGTTTTTATCTTTTGACTAATTTGACTAGTAATAATACAAACCAATTTGTCAATGTTTTGACAATTTGTTTTGCCTCCATTTCCTCCTAAATAGAACTAACATCATTCAGGTTTGTTTTGCCTCCTCTCCTTTAAAGAAAATCTTTAAAAATCATTCACGTTTTAAAGTGACCTACTTTTTCTGCATGATTGCTATTAGAAAATTTTGCTCTTCCATTTTTTTTTTTTGATATTTTAGCTGGATATATTTTGTCATTTGTCTCTAGTCAGAATTTTGCTTCATTTGCAAACCTACTGTTTCATTAAAATCAGATTTAGTTCATTTGTCTTTTGGTTTATGCATTCTTATTTTCACTCTACTTTTGATTAACAATTATTCTTCTTTCTATTTTCTTTCTTGGAAAATCCAATTACACACTGGTAGAGACTCCACATTTTATGTTTCATATATGTCATTCCCTCTTTCCTATTATTATAATCATTTTACTAGTTTATGTTTTGTTTTCATTGTACTTCCCAAGTTTATCATGTTTAGATGATTTGATTTTCTACCATAGATTTACCTTCTTATTTCTTCCAAAAGGATTTTGTTTTTGATTGTAACTTTGGTTTAACTACACTCTCTATTTAATTCCACTCTGTGCTTATTTAGCAGATATTCTGAACAGTTTTATATGATTGATAATAAAAAATGATAGCTTTATAATATTTTCTTCATTTTATTATAACAATTCCATTTAAATGTCTGGGAAAATGGTTTTCCTTGGAGAGCATATATTATTTCTCTTCTTTTATTGCAAACATTTTTCATTGGCTGCAAATTGAAATTTTA